TAGGGATGTATGCAAAAAGAAAAGAAAACAAAGGATGACCTGAGTCACACCACACCACCACCATTACAATCAGCACACAAGAATACAGGCCAGTGTAACCACAATCAGTAGTGGTACACGCACCCACACAGAACTGCTGATACTGCTGCTGCTGTCTCCATCACCCTTTTTGCTGTTTGTGAGTTCAGGAGGAAGTGTTGTTGTAGTTGTGGTGGTGGTGGTGGATGTTTCTGTATTTCCCACATTTCCTTCTTGGGTGCCCGTTGTTTCACCCTCTGCAGATGTAAGTTCGTGCTCAACTGTTGCGGCACTAGAACCACTGCTACCCTCAGTGTCTGAATTGGGAGGGGAAGATGTATTCGCTGCTCCATTTTCATTTCTTCCACTCTCTCCAGATTGCGGCTCTCCTGCAGGAGCAGCACCATCACTCCCCTCAGAGGCAGCAGCGTCAGAACCGGCACCACCAGCTCCAGCTCCTTTACCGGGAGAATCAGAAGCGTCAGCAGCAGCTTCACCGGAAGGAGGTAGTGGGCCTTCTTGAGCATTACTTCTGGCAGGTGTTGCTGTTTCAGCTGGTGCAAGTGTTTGCACGGAGGGCTTAGTTTGAGGATGAATATGAGTACCCTCACCAGATGAACTACTAGCAACAGAAGGACAAGGAGCGTCAGTAGCACCATCAGCAGCAGGACAAGTAGAACCGGGTTCAAGTTGAGACGCCTGTTCCGTTCGTCTGGTTGTAGGACAAGAAGGACCAGATCCATCACGACAATTGCCTTCAGTGTTATCAACAATGGTTACGCAATTGTCTTTCCCTGTAACTTTTGTACAATCACCAGAAGGAGCATTGTCAGGTCCATTAGTGTTATTCTTGCACTGTGGACCAGTCCCGCCTTCAGGACAAGCTTCATCGCCACGAGGACCAACATCAGAATCAGGAGGATGAGCACCAGGTAAAGGAGGTGTTTGACCTGGAGGAGGACAAGTTTCATCATTAGGAGGTTCAGTACAAGGACCACCAGCAGCAGGATCAGAACCCGCCTCAGCTGTCACACACAAAGAGACAACACTCAACAGCAAAGCGAGAAAACAAAACACACGAGACATCATCACGGCAGCAATATTTAGCTTGTAGTTATAGGCCACTTGAATGCAGAAGAAAGAAGAAGAGATAAAGATTATCAATACAAACACTCAATACATTAGAAACACACACAGAGAGAAACAAAGGAGAGCACAACACACAACAATAATCAGTTACACAAAACAACATGAGGAGCAAACGAAAAAAAAAATTAGTAACACCGAAAAGACAATACTCCAACATCACTCATAGTTCAATTAAAGAACAAGCCCACAGTATCCAGGATGAAACAAAAATAATCCCATATATCTCAGAAAAAAAGAAAAAAAACATAAATGAAAAATACGAAAAGCTGATCAAGAAAACAAACAAATATATAAAAGTGTCTTCGCCTGTCAGCATATATACAATTACAAATAAATATATATATATATATATATAT